AGACTCATACCTAGAGTTTTAGCATTGAGCTTCTGAGTTAGTCCTTTAAAAATAACTTTTTTTTTTTTTTTTTGTACTTTGGCCAAGAGGAAAGGTGAGCAGCTTCCTCTGTGATCAGTAGATTTATAGGTAAAGCTATCACTTCCATGACATGTTTTAAGCTAAGCGAAAGATTTTTAGGGATAGCAATATGTTTTCCCAAAACCTCATCGTGATGACTGTTCACATGGAAATATTCCTTCTGCTCTTTCCCTACCCACCTACCTACCTTTCCCTCCCTCCCTACCTTTCCCTACCTACCTACCTTTAGATAACTACAAATTGATGCCTTAATTCTGTATTAACAATCATTTTATGTTAGCTGACTTGAGTGGCATACTTAACTCCTACCTTGCTGAAGATCTAGCAGCTCATCTCTCTGTAGCCTCTGATTATGCAGTATTCACCTTGGTGTGACCCTTTGTTTATTTTTTAACGCTGGCTATGTGCCATGCTCTTTTGTATGTACTGTTTAGATAACCATGTCTGCATGGTGCACAGAATGATTGGCAGTAAGGCTGGCACAGGAGGATCATCAGGCTACCAGTACTTGCGCTCAACAGTGAGGTAAGAATAATGCCTTTTACCTACCTTGATGTTGTTCATGGATGTCGTACTGCTGGGAGATAGATTTCAGACAGCTCACTAAAAGTTAGAGCCATCATTCCTCTTTTGGGACTATACTGAGCATTTCCCATCCAAGTTGTACATTTACTTATCAGGTTGATACATGTGAATTCTAAGTCTTTTGTGGCAAAGGGCTTTGATCACTCATGCAAAGTGCATTTACAATTCTCAGTCAAGGGATTAGACATTACTGTGATAGGAAATAATGCAGCATTAATACTGTTTACCTTGTGTGCTTTCCAGCCCAAGTTAATATGCGATGCAGGACGAAAGTTAGTCCCACATGCTGTGCAACTGAGTTTCTTTATTTCTTAGTGTGACCTCTAACTGTATAAACTAAGATACATAAGCTTAGTTAATACCCTCTGGCTGTGCAGGCGAAAATCAGGAACATCTTCTGTTGGATGAAGCAGAGAAGGAATTTAAAAGAATGGAGGAACTGTCTTTTCTTTTTTTAGTGGATGGTTTTGAACTGAGCACAGAACTCCCTAAACGGTCAGAACTTAGACAAAATTTTGAGCATTTCAGCAGAAAGATGCAGCAGTAGCTCCTTTAAATCTTATCTGCTGTGCCCTAGAGACAGTTAGGACTGAACCTTGAACTGAACTTAAACTCTGGAATACTAAGGAGAAGAATGGTTAGTGCAGAAACATTATTAAATATGTGAGGGTATGGTACCTGAGGATTTCAAAATTGTGTCCCTTCCGCTGGCATGCACAGCAACATCAATCATTCCAATTGTCTTTTTCAGTGACAGGTACAAGGTGTTTGTGGATTTGTTCAATCTTTCAACGTTTCTAGTGCCAAGACACTGGATACCAAAGATGAATCCAACTATTCATAAATTCCTTTATACAGCAGAATACTGTGACAGCTCCTATTTTAGCAGTGATGACTCTGACTGAACTATCTAGACTGGTTGCTGCGAAGAACTTCAGAACATTCACCCTGAACTATTCCTGATACTATTCCTGAACTATAGCAACTGTTCTCATCAGCGTGGGTGTGTAAATATTTATTTATGTATGACAGAACTAGCTGAATACTCCACTTGACTTATTGAATAAATTCAATCGTCTGTAGAGAAAATAATCTTGCACTGATTCAGGCTCTATTAAAGAAAAAAATCCAATTCAAACTAATGGCTAGCTAAATTGAATGTTTTTATCTAAAAATCTATACTTGGAGACAGGAAAAAATTATACAGATTATCATCATCACATCTTATATGTACATATATTTCTATCTGTCAGTTTACCTAATGGCTGTTAGTAATTTACTTTGAGTTGAAGATGTAATTATTCTCATCAGCTTAAGATGATAGAGAGCTGTAGAGTTCCAAAAGAAATTTCAGGTTAAGATCTTCAAAAGCTGGATTTTGAACAAATATCCTGAATCTGCGGAAACCCAAGCCTCTGGAATTTTCTTACAAAAGAATATAAAGGCCTTCATTAGAAATACTGTTAAGAATAGTAGAGATAAATGCCTACTTCACGCTTCAAATAAAGCAGTATTCAAGTTACTCTTTTGTTGCCTTCTTCTAAAACAAGCATAACATTCGCACAACAATATGACAGCTGTTTAGAGTATTTTTTTAATCAAAATATCATTGAAACGAGGATAAAATTGTTGCATCATAAAAGTGAGGTAACTTTGACCACAGGGTAGGATAAAGCCGTGTCATCTTCTCATTAGATGCACTGTTGCTAAATGCTTCTCTGGAAAACACGTTTTCTGCAGGCCTTAATTTCTGGTGAGGAGTTCTGTATCTTTGTGCTCTAGTCAGGCTTGGTTGTACCACATCAGAAGCATAGCTGGACCTTCAATGTTTGGTACTGCTATAAAAACACATTGCTCTGATGCCAATTGAGAAGTTTAGCTGTTCTTATCCCATCCCATCAGCAAAGTGTGCTGTTTGTTGTCTGTAATCTGCTAAGGTATGGTCATACTACACAAAATGCTTCTCCTTTTGTTATTCTGAAGTTTAAGCTTGTTAGAGATGGGAACAGAACTGGACATTTAGCACTTAGGTCTTTTTTTTCCCCGCATAAAATAATGATTCTTAGAAAGAGAACTAAGGTGACAATACAAGACAATGATGAACATTCATGGCATCTGTTATAAAAACATTACACTAATCATTAGCAGGGTACAGCAAGTGCAAAAGTTATAGAACTGCTTCAAAGCTTTTCATAACAGTGCTCAATAAAGGACACAGGTAAAGCATTCCAGTTGACAGAGTCAGAGCATCTTAGAAATGCTTGTTGTCAGTTCTAGTTACATTTGCCTCCAACTGTAGTTACACAGATCAGCAAAGCTGGAACCACCTGAGGATTCCCAGCAAATCTCTCCTACATGAGTTTAATATTTCTGTAGGGAAATCTGCTCTACTTGGAATATGATGTAATTCCTAACTTCCTAAAGGTGGCAAAGACTTTACATCTATCTACAGCCAGACTTTTTTTTTCTATGATAGATCATTTTTTCACTTGTTTCACAGCTGTTTCAGTATAAGCTGTGAAATAGAGAAAGGAGGAGTGTGGAACTGAGAGCTACAAAAGCACAGAATGGTTGGGTTGCAAACATTTCTGTCCTGGCAGGGCAGAGATGATGATAAGCCACTAGAATGGCCTTGGTTCATCGAAATACGGTTTTCTTCTTGCTCTCCTACCCCTTTAACAAATCAATTCAGAAGACTACCATATTTGAGGCCCTTTTCAAAATACACCTTCCTACTTCAAAAATCTCTGAAGTCTTATCCACCCAACAAAAGGAGAAAGACTGAAATAGAAGGACTATAGTATTACAGAGACCCTGGCTGCTCTGGAGATTGCTTCATGGCTATTTCACTCCTCTGTTCATCTAGCTTTTGAGAAAAATGTAGGATTTCACAAAAAGGAGGTGTCAACCAGAGATGCTAGAAAAGAGAAAACAGGCAGCAAAACATAAGTGTTCTCTCCTAGCACCCTCCTCTCCTAGTTAAAAGCAGACAACCATTGTGCTTCTGATGCTTAAAGCATTTTGATTATACTCCATCATACCACTGATTAGTGGATTCAAATTTCTTATTTGCTATCACTTCTTTTCTCAAAAGAATTTTTAAAGGAATGTACTTTTTAGTAGTTGGTACCTAAGTTCACCTTAACAGTTTCAATTTCTCTTTGCAACTTCCTTCTGCACGCTCTGTGGTTGAAGTCTTCTCATTCCGTGGGAGATCTGATACATAACACACGTGCCAAATAAAAACATACTTAAAAACTCCAGCCGACCACTTCCTGTCATGCTTAAAAAGCAGGAACTCTTCGTGCAGTCTGTTCTTATTTTAGGAAATGTTGCTTTGAAGTAAAATCTTCATACACAGTGTATGCTAAATGATAATCCTTAGTCTTTAGCCGGAATCAAACAAATACTGATGAAACTGTATCTGCTATTCCTATAAATGAAACAAACAACAAACAAAAAAACATAATGAATACCAGAAACAGAGACTTGTCACCAAATAAGTTATCAGAACTCATATTCATATTATGTCCTCTCTCTTCCATGCACTAAGTATTGGCATAGGGTGGTGGCAGAAAAAAACACCAAAATGAACAGCTGCAATTCTTATTTCTTCACTGCCTGACATTGTTTGTAGTTGAAACCTTTTCTTCTTCTTCCTCTGCGTTCATGTTCAAAACTCAAGATCTTGAGGATTCAGCACAGAATCCCTGCATGGCAGATTTACCTGTCTTAGCTCTAGATTCAGAAACTTGGCAGAAAACAAGTATTTAACAATATAAAAGCCACTCAAGTGTCAAGAAAATGCAAACAGCAGAAGAGGGAGGAGACGGAGCTCGCAATAAAAGGATGTACTTCCATACCTTTACTTATGCTGCATATAGCAACATCATTAGCTTAGGCTGATGATACACAACTGTGCACTTGACAACGCCATTACCTCTCCCTGGTAAGCTACTGTCATACTTCAATTATTATGGCTTATGTATCTTCACATTTGTGTGATGTTTTTCAATCAACCATGTGGCCAGGTTGAACTAACGACCGCTGTTCTTCTATCTGAACTCATCTAACCTCATTCAAAACGTAGCAATGATTTGTATTTCCTCTGTGAGGATCCCACTGTATCACTTTACTTACATGGAACAACACATGGCCTTTATCACTCGCATTGTTTTTCAGACTTACCACAGACATTGCTGCCTATCTTCACACGAACGTAGCCATCTATTCCCCATGTGCGGCCCCAAGAGTTCTGTACAATCCAGTAAGGGATGCTACCTGGAAAATACATTTTCAGCAGCTGGAGACAATGTGATCATTAAGAGGTATAAAAATGCTAACATTCTATACAGTTAATTAGCATTTTAATATCTCACAGGATGCTGACTGGATGACATTATACAGAGAAGCCTCCTATTGTTCATAGAGGACTGACACTTCAGTGTAAGACTGGATATACCCTATGTTAGGATAAGGATATAGATACCCATGTTCTTGTCTTTACAGGGACATCAAGTCCCACTAAACCAAAGGAACACAGAAAAGAAGAATTTCCTGGGATCAGACTGCACTTCCAGAATTGAGCTGACACCAGCTCAGTTCTCAGATTGTGGATTTTAATATCCTGCCTCACAGGAGGCAAGCTGCAAAGATGAGAAAACAAAACTTAGAAGTTCAGTTGATGTAAACATACCTGTTCTGTCAAAACCAGTGATAAGTACAGCATGATTTGCTTTTCCACTGGAGCAGTGATACTGTATGATCCCACCAAGATAATCCTGCCAGCTAACTGCATCTACTGTTACTGCCAAAGGTCCCCAGTCAACAAGTACTCTCATCATCTCCTCCTCCTGACCACTGTAGAAGCAGTGAGTGATAACACAGAGGTTAAAGTTGGCACAGTAAAGCAATTTGAGAGGCAGTAATCTACTGAAGTACAATTTAATAATCAAATAATTAAGCTTTTTCTTATGAGTTTTACACATCACATAACATACATCAATACATACACATTTTATTCACTACAACACGAGGCACACAAACTATGGATCAGGTGCCAGTCCAATGATACAACGCTGTTAAAAAGCCTTGGTCAAGTGGGCAATACTAAGCACCATGTACATCTTATCCCCCACTCCTCTCAATTAGAAAACACCTGTATATTGTTACTGCCCCTTAGTTTTTCAAACATCCAGATGAAATTAACCTCATAACCTTTGGCTGACTCCAGTTAGTGAACATTATAGTGAAAGTACAGCAAATAAAAAGAATCAACAGCAGTTACCTGAAATCATATGCAGCAAATCCTGCTATTGAAACTCCAAAATCCGAGTGAGCGAAATAATGGCACAGTCCTGTCTGAGCTTTAAAAGTGTACTCTGAATCTCTCACAAGTTTGACTTTGGTCTGCAAAGAGATTAATGAATGAATGTGTTTGATTCAGTCCAGTCAAAAGTGGATGCTCAAATCCAAAGAATGAGCCTTGCATAAATGGCCTCTTCTACAGTGGTACTGTACAGCTATTGCTTCAGTTGATTTCAATGGTCAAAGAGTATGATTCTTATCCCTTGTGGGTTGATTTACTGCATTCACAAGCAACATATACAGATTGTAAAATTCAAATCAAGTTTCAGTTCTGCGTGAATTAACAATCCTAGGTTAAATAAATAACCATATACACACAAACAAAAATCAGATGATCCGTAAAGCACATATTCCCTCTTCCCCATCACTTCTTCCCCTGTAAAAACAAAACGAAACAAGCAAACAAAAACAGTGCAAAAAAAAGGGATCAAAATTTATAGAAAGTTTCAAACCTGATTCAGCCAGCTCAAAGCAGTTATTGTGGAACCACCACTGCAACCATAATTACTGTACGAGCAATCGATAACCTGCTGCACGCTGAGTTCTTCCAGATTATTTCCTTTAATTGCATAGGCAGACTCTATACCACCCACAACACTGAAAGCCCAGCAGCCTCCACACTGGAAGAAGAAGATAGGAAGAAAAAAAAGTCAGCTTTGCTTTTCTAACACCATATGGAAAACTGGAAGTATGAAGAGTTTTCCAACGACCTTCATTTACCACATCACTTTTTATCTTCATTTTTATGGCATTACAAATATGGCATTGTTTTTTATCCCTACTGTGCTACACTGTGAAAACTAAAAATGAATTAAAAGTGTCATATTTTAATGACTCCTTCATGACTCATTTTTGCTAACATTAAAACAGCCCTTTAAAACAGGCCTAGTGACACTTTCTAGTGCTAGATATGTATTTTCTTAATTATAGACTGAGACTCGGGCAGAAATTACTTTTAACCATGTTATTACACTTTCGAAAAGGATGCACTTAAGGAGACAGCCTGTGGTTTTCTGTTGTCTGAAGAATTTTATATAAATATACTAGATTACAACTTAAGCAGCAGTAAACCAAAATTAAATGGGAGTAAAAAAAATTCTTAATTGATATCACAGCTAGTTTTCTCAACTTTTTAAACCTTGGTGATTTAAACAGAGAGCACAGAGCTTATTCCTAGGTTACATTGCACAAAGGAAAGATACTGGGAGTTCAAAAGCTGAGTGCTTCTTATCCTGTTAAGTGTACCAGACGATCGTAGCCTATCTGGGATGTAACCATTGGGCTCTATTTTCCTGCCATGAAAGCACCTCCATGGAGGAGTTTGGTGGTAAAGGCATGGGTCTTGACTAGCCATGGGCACTCCCAACAGATCTGTAACCAGGAGTACAGAGGACAAGAGGTCAAGTACTGAACACGCTTCAGTCTCCAGAAAAAATAAAAATTAAAAAAAATAAATAAATCACAAAGCACTCACGGTGCAAAATATCCGCAGACTTTACCCCCAAAATGTATTAAACACAATTAATCACTGTACCATTAACAACTTTTACCTGCAGTGCTTTATACCTAAGCCCACTCTTCATAGAAGGCTGTTATCAGTACACAGAGCTCAGAGTCTTGAGGCAGCGCTGATCCTTCTCTGTCCTTCACTGTGCTCTATGATGTACCTCCCAGAACTGTCTCTAACCTGTGCTTGAGAATCAGCAAAAGGAAATCACCGCCACTTACTGTCTGCTGATTTCTCACTTCTGCAATGACTTTCTTGTCCCTCCAGTCAAACTTCTTTGGCAAAGGTTTTTCCTTTCCCTTTGGCACTTTTATGTATCTGGGGAGTTTGTGAGGTATGCTTCTTAAGTAAATAGCTGAACATGGAACACAAACATTTATAAATCTGCTTAAACAAATGACAAAAACAAATAAACAACACAAACCCAACCCGTTTTACTAGAAACCATAATGGTAACTTTGATCTGTAGTCACAACCATGAAATGGCACAGGATTCTCAAATCCATAGAGCAGCCGTCATAGTCCAGAACTAATTTAAATATTCTTACAGTTTCAGAAAGAACAGAAATATGCCATGTGGGAAACATGAAGACAATTTTGTACCTTTGAATTCTTCAGGAAAGAGGTGAGAAAACTGATTTTTTCCATAGAAAGCAGATCCATTATCATTTGATGGTGAATTCAGTAATCTAATTCTTTTCGCACTTTCCTGAATGAAAACAAAAGTACTGTGGCTGTTATTAAGTTAGCAGCAGTGAAAAAAAACAACTGTAAGAGCAGAACGTTACCAACAGCAAACATGACCATAGAATCAGAGAACCACTGAAGTTGGAAAAGACTTCTAAGATCACCGAGTCCACCCACCAAGCCAGCCCCACCATGCTCACTAACCATGCCTGTCAGTGCCACATCCACCAACACCTCCTGGGATGGTGACTCCCCCACCTCTCTTGGCAGCCTGTGCCATTGCCTCCCCACTCTTTATCAGAAGTAGTTTTTCCTAATATTCACCCTGAACCTCCCTTCCTGGCACAATTTACAGCCAGAACCCCCTTGGTAACTTGCTGAGCTCACATTCAGCTCAGACTCACCCTGGGCTCTTATCAAGCCAGTCTGAAAGTGATTAGACTAATTTTAGCTTCGGGAAACACACAAAGAGACACAAAGTGCACAGATGGTTTAAAATCAATACAAGACCAACAAAATAAGCTGACAACAAGTGGTGCCAAAATCATCTGATGCCCCTTGTCGGGCAGCACAACACGGAGACGCGTGAAAACATTTCATCCTTAGATAAGATTTAACCTCGTCTCGATTTATGTCGCAGAACTAACATAACGTTTACGCAGCACAAGGAATACCAAGGGGGAGCCGGCCACTGCCGTCACGCTGCCCCCTGGCGGCGGGAGCGGGGAAGGAAGGAACCCGCAGGCATAGCGGCGAGCAGGGCAGCAGTGCAGCAAGGAGCGGGCAGCAGTGCAGCAGGGACCAGGCAGCAGTGCAGCAGGGCAGCAGGACAGTAATGACCTACCCGCAGCGCCGCCGCTTCTTCCTCCCGTCCTCCTCCGTTCCACGGAGGACGCCCAGCAGCGCCCGCGGGCACCGGGAACGCGGCGTGGGCCGCTCGCAGCAGGCAGCACGCCAACCCCAACGCCAGCACCCCCATCATCACCGCGGGCCGCCCGGCCGCGCCCCGCACCCTGCCGGCTCCCTGCCCGCTCCGCCCCCGGCTGCCGAGTCATAGCGGGTGGGGTCTCAAGAGACACCCCCACGTCGGCACAGTTCGCGGCCGGCTGCTCGCAAGGAGAGGCGGGGTCGAGCTTCTCTTTTGCATGGCTGTGCAGGAGCAGGGCAGCGCGGCGTGCGGGCGCTGCAGCCGCTGGCGGCGAGGCAGGAAAGGGCGAGGGCTGGCGGTGGTGATGATGGCTGCAGAGTTTTAGGAGAGAGAGCGTAGTTATTTGTTGGGATAGCAGAAACGCGGCTTGCAGCTCTTAGCATGTGAAGGGGCCAGTGAGGAGCAAGCAGGAGCGTGGCTGTATGGGCGTGATCCGTCTCTTCTCTCGCGTGCTGGTCCTGAGTCAATTCGGTCTCTTGCTCTGTGCATCTTTTCCTCACTCAGGTGTGGGGAGCGCGTTCTGTCGTGTTTATTTCCTAGCTCTGAGGCAACGAGGTGCCCCGCTCCTGTTTCACGTACCCGAGTTTGCTCTCTTCTGGAAAATGGCTTTCAAACAAACAAAGAAGTATCTTATTTTATGCTGGTAGCTCGTGTTGGAGGAGGTGCCTGATGGCTCAGTCGGTGCTTGCCTGGTGTATCCCCCCCGGTGTGGCTTTGCTATTAAAAAGCAATGGGAAACTTTCTCTGGAGTATGATTGCGTTATCGGAATTATTATGTGCCAGAGGAAGTGAAAAACAAAACAAAAAAAAACCCAGTACTTTATGATATACCAACAGCTCCTTCCAGTCTATCCTGCTGGTTAAGGAGCTCGTATTTGTGGTGTAGAACTGCTTTTGCTGTGAAACACATGAGGGCAGCAGAGGACTTTTGGAAAGGTAATACCAAACCGTGCGGTTCCTTAAAAATAAAAAATAGAAATAAGCACTCCTAAAGGTATCCAAAACAGACTCACGTTAAAATATAGATTTATAGCATATCGACAGGCAGGCAGCCCCTGCTCTGTTCTGAATTACTCCGATATAAATCTAGTCCAGCTTCATAAAGATAAAAGAAAATATAGAGGTCGCCCCAGGCAAGTGATCTGTGTGATTTTTTTATTTTATTTTTTTATTTTATTTTTTTATTTT